GACATATTTCTGTTGAATATTTACGAATCTCAGATTTCCGACATGTGTCCCCCCCAATTGTAAACATATTCCTACGCCCTTGAGTGCCAGCATAAAACCTTTTGGAAGCGCTTTTACTACATTTCAATCTATTTTTGTATCTATAGTTTCATTTTCTTGCCATTTTTCTTTGTAATGTCTAGGTAAATGGGTCATTATTTGAAACTAAGTGTTTTGAACGAATGTTAATTTTTTTCTCAAGCTTTTGTGCATAAGCTTGTTATTATGTTATAACATACATAAATACACGTTATGTTTTTATGCTGCTTTTTGGTCACTACCTATGAAATTATTATTAACCTGTATACAAATCAAAGTCCCATTAAATATGCATAATACTGAGCTAAATGTATTCCAGTGAAAAAGAGAAACAAGACATTTTTTTATAAAGACTAAAGAACATATAAGCTGTTTGAACTCCTCAAAGATTTCCTGTGGGGATGCATTTCAAACAAAATATAATAAAGGCCTGAGTTGTTTGTTTCTTTTTGAAATTCAAAGTTGTTTACAATAATTCACAATTAAGAATCTCCATCATTTATCAGGCTTTCAGCAGCAAAGGGTAAGCATGACAAGTTTGAACACGAAGGTCCATTCAGTTTGTGACAAAATTAATCTCCTTATAAATGTCTGCCCTTCAACTGTTTGAATTGTAAAGGAAAGCTCTATATTTGCATCTTTAAACTTTCTCTCCTGGATTCCTAAGAAGATATCACTCAGAACAAAAGCTTTAATAACATTTTATAAAGTTTATTAAATAAATTACAATGAGACATGACAAACGATTTTGTCAGAACCACTAAACTTGTTTGTATGGAAAGTCGGTCTGGAATACCGATCAAAGAAGCATTTTATACACACAGCCTACCACATCCTCACATCATTACTTCATAGACATGAGTAGACATCACTGGCTCCAGCCATATCAAAATGTTACTCAGGGTTCTTATATCAAGTAAAACCATTGCACACTAACAGAACTATATGTTAAGAATAATCCACTCTGTATACTCCCTTTTCATTCCCAAGTCTTTGAAACACACATAATCAATATGATTTGTTTTTATCCTGACAGAAGAGCTGTCCTAATTATATAAACTGCTTGTGAAAACATTAGTCTTGGCAATTAACAGGCAGGTCATATTAAGGTTTAACAAGCACATACATTAATAATGAAAATAATCCTAACAGAATACAACATTGTCGACTCCATATGGTTTATGGAAAACGTGACTTTGTGGTACAAATCACTGTTCTCAACAAACCTATGCTTAGGAAATATCTCCTGTGTTCAGCTAGCAGACGTAGGCAGTATGTGACTTTCAACTTAGTGGTTCATTTAGGTGCTAAAAGCCTGATGTTTTTCCCAAGAAACTGAACCAGGAGAGAGGTTAACCTGGTGGACACTATGAGGACTCATGGGTGCAGTGGCTTTTTCTCCAGAATCACTTTAAATATTATTGAAATGAGAATGAATTAGCTTGCACCCTCTGTTTGTAAAAGGGTGAATTTAGTCTGCTGGTGAGGGTTTTATTGTAAAAACCTTGACAGAGCCTCCATCAAGAACATATTACAGTGTGCGCACCAAGGAACGAGGAATTAAAAGAGAATGCAGTGCAGCGAGTCATGAAATAAGTTGAGAAAAGGGAGACATTCAAACATTCATTATCTCATCATTAGTTACAAATGATGCTTTCAAGCCTGTCCTGGCCATATAAATGAAAGGAAATTGAATGGAGGGTGTAAGGGTATCTGTATGTTGGATGAGGGGAAGGTTTAAATCCAAACAGAATTAATAGGTTAACAGAATTCTTCTCATACCCATACTGTTGAATGCAACCTTTTACTTATTCAGACATATCTTTTTCATGATGAATATCAAACAAAAGATCTGTATTCCGAGGGTTAGCCATCTCTTGCACAGAGCCAACATTTAATGCACAAATCTTGTTTCTTTTGGAACAGAATAATAGTGAATGCTTCTAAAGCTTGGCCAATGTCGCAGGGCCCTTCTACTCCTCAGGGATGTTCTTTTCATAAAGCAGCACCACTGTCTGAAAACACATTACATTCTCAAGTTTAAAGTAGCTTTCATATTTTTTTTTCTTTTTTCAGTTTCCTTTCAATATTTTTTTGTTTGTTTTTTTGTTTTGTTTTTCTTTTCTTATTTTTAGTTCACACAAAGCAAACACAGGTTTTTGCCACTTTAGTTTTGAAAATCAAGAAAAGCTTTTCAACAGTAGAGAGATGAATTCTTGTTTTCTTTTTATTTTTCTGTTTGACAACTTCTTCAAAAAAGGACAGAGTTGTCATTCATTACTGTTTGATCAGGCTCATTCTGTAGTAGCAAGATAAGCTTTCAATCTCCAGCTCATTGTTTAGACTAGACTAGACTTGATCCAGTTAAAGATTGCAAAAAGTCAGTAGATAAATTATAATGTCAATTCAGTTAGAGCTAGGTCAATTTACACACACACACACACACATGTTGTGTCACAATATCCTTGTGGGGACCTTCCATTGACTTCCATTCATTTCCCACTAATTTATATGGCCTAACCGTGACCCTTGCCCTAACCCTAACCATTACAGACACATACCTATCCCTAAACCTAACCTAAACTCAATTCACACCTTAGTCCTAAACCTAACCCCCACCCCAAGAAGAGGAACTTTCGTTGTTGGTCCCCACAAGTACCAATGAGTCCCCAAAATGTAGCATATTCCTAGGAAATTGTCCCACCAGGTATTAAAGACATGGCCACACAAACACACACACACACACACATATATATATAAAAGAAATGAAAAAAATATATATTTATATTTTTGCTTCCAGCTTGTATTGTCATTACACTATGACAAGTACAGAGCAATGAAATTAACTCTGCATTTAACCCATCCCCTTGGGGAGCAGTGGGCTGCCATTGTGGGAGGGATTAAGGGTCTTTTGCTTAGTCTGTGG